AAGTGGTTAATACTGTAACTGTCAGATACATTGACAGTATTGAAAACAATAATAAATATTATTATTAAAATAATACATTTAAAAAAATTACATTTTGTCCATTCGTCAGCCTAGCATAAAAATATGAGCAGGTAATTCATTAAGCAGTGTACAAAATAAAAGCCCTACGCATCCTTAGAAAAAAAATGTAAAAATAATTTAAGTAGTATATTAGTAATTGCGCTATTGTCAGGTAAATTACACTTCTAAATTTGGTCTGGGCATCTAGGCATCAATGACCTGTGGTTACAAAGGGTTAAACAGCGGTTGAATTGAACTGTATGGGCCAAAGATCTGTGGTTATAGAAGGAACAGTACAAATGGTCTTCGTGGCAGATTTCTAATTTCAGTCTTGTTTCTATTCTTCTTGAGGTAATATATCATTATGTAAATGGTATTTAATTAAGGATGCCTGGTGCCTAAAACACCATTCAATCTAGCATGCTCTCTTCCGAAAGCTAATACACATAACAGGCAGACAGGAAGAAGCCTGGCTGCATGTCAAAACATCAAATTACTATTATGCATTGCAATCAATAGGTTCAGAACAGTACCTTCTACCTTTCATAACAATGTTCTGCTTATTGTATCCAACTAGCAAAATTAATGGCTTTATAAATGGAATTTTAAATGCATGAGCGCAAAGTATCTGTGACAATGGAAACACAGATTCCTTACCCCATTAAAAATAATCCTTAATATATCTGTGGTCATTTGGTAGAGCTGACAGAATAAATATTGGCACAGTCACTGGGGCGTGCCTATAAACTGGCATTAGTATAAACAGCTGATAAACCAAGCCTAATGCATCCACTCTGCTTGCCAAACACTACAATCTTTGACACAACAGTCTGAACATAGTCGCAATACCAAGTAAGGACTTGGAAGTAACTTCATTGCGTTACTGTAGGAGCATTTTACTAAAGATTGGAAAAATAATTATTTTTGATATACAAAACGATACAAGTTTCCCAAGTACAAAACAGTACTTTATGTTACTTTATAGGTATATGTAAATGATCATATCTATATAAAACAAATCCTGTATTTGTCATAAAGCCTCACATCATGTGATGCGTGAAAGTATGCGATGCCACAAGCGATCCCACATTACATGTTGTAATGTTAGGTGCAATGCCATGCCACTATCTCTAAATGGTAACCCCAAAATACCTACCCATCACATGTGCATTGTAAGGTTACCTATTACATTCTAATTAGCTGTGGTAGACAGCCCATTCAAATGAATAAGCTTCCTACCACAGCACACCTCAATTGCACTCTGCAGCACCACTGCGATGTTCCATCACAGAGGTGTGAACAAGGGCTTAAAAGTGAACTCCAGGCAGATATAAAAAAGAAAACAGTAAGACAGCTATGTGTGAATTAAAAGATAATGACATCTAATTTTAAATAAAATTAGTGTAAGTATCTGATTTTATCTTGGTATCATTGTCTTGGAATCCCCTGTACTACAGCACCTAGACTGGGACATGGACAGGTAGTATTAAGGGCCAATCAATTATTCTACAGTGTACATAAGATAATAAGGAAAATGCTGATAGGTGGAGAAAGCTGCTGTGGAAGGAGGAAGGTAGAGGACCAGAAGGTATTGCTGAACTACAGAAAAGTAAGGTCACAACCAGGCTCTGCTGTCTGGTACAATGGTGGGTACCTTGGGAATTAATAGATTTACATATTTGCTTTCCAATTGTATAGTTAGCTGCTTTCCTAGAGGTCATCTTTAACTGAGGACAGTGACAAACCTAGGCTGGCATATCTGCATTGTGTGGCAACTGTCCTGGTATCAACATATTATGACCTCTATGACTTAAAATCATCATATAGAAACAGAAAATATATCAGACTTGAAATGCAGACAAAAAATACTCCTTATCTCTGTATGTCAGGCACCTTCTGCCCAAGATAAATTAATCTAATGAAGGCAAAAATAATCTAGCCATTTGCTCATAGGGCTGGCTGTCAGCAATGTGGTCACAGGGGTCTAGTCATATAGGTTATTTTGCTGCTGGCAATACCTTACCCAAGGCATAATTACTACAATTTCAATAGGGATATCACACTTTCACTGGTTGAATTGCTGTAGAATCTCAGTTTCTAGAGAGGGATCAGTGGCAGAGCGATATGTCGGTGGTTCAGAAAGGAAGGGAATGATGCCATAGGAAGTACGCTGACTTTGCACAATTTTGTCACTATAGAGATGATGCTACTACCAGCAAAATCACTAGTGTAACATGTGCCTAAGTATTAGATTAAACTGAACCTTAACGTTCAAATGTGCCAGTGCTATTTTCCAACCTTCAGCTGTGCTAGAAAAAAAAAGGCATCACTTTGTATTGTAATGCACTTGGTTTGGGAAATATTGACACAGGAATAAGGCAGCACATAAACACAAACTAACACTGCGATATTAACCCACTAAAATGAGAACAACGAAAATTACTTGCCAACAGTTCAACTGTATAATGTCATGTAGTCTAATACAGCCGTCATACAACCAGAAATAGGAACCGCTCCAGGAATGCTAGGAACAAACACTATGAGGGTTATTCAGGAGCCAAAGGATATAGTAGTAGCCTCGGCTAATCCAAACCGAATGCATATGCTTTGGCTTGGCTGAGCCGAATTCACAGCCAAAGCGGAGGGATGGGTCTGCCGAAGCAAACTGTTCTCCCTGCAAATGTAAACAAACAAAAAACAGTGTGGGGTCCCCCTCCTGATCCAGTTAGGAGGGACCCCTGAGTTAAAAATAATTTAAAAAGTGTGCGGGGTTCCCCCAAAAGTCATACCAGGCCCTTTAGGTCTGGTAGAAATTTTAAAGGGGATCTCCACCCCAAACAAATGGGGAAAAAAGTGGGGTTCCCCCTAAAATTCCCAACCAGACCTTTAATCCGAGCACAGGCCTGGCAGGGCAGGAAGTGGGGGGATGAGTGAGCTCCCCCCCCTCCCTGCAGCATACCAGGTCACTTGCCTCCGGCATTGGAAGTGTGCTTTTCCAGGGTACCCCCTGGAAAAGCACTTTGTCCCTGTGCTGATGGGGACAAGGGCCTCTTCCCCACAAGCCCTGACCCGTTGGTTGTTGGGGTCTGCTGGTAGGGGGGTTATTTACATCGGGGTACCCCCTTTCACAAAGGGGGTACCCAGATGCTGCCCCCCATTGTGAATGAGTAAGGGGTACTTGTACCCCTACTCATTCACTAAAGGGTTAAAATTGAAAAGTAAATAAACACACCAGACTTTAAGAAAAAATCCTTTAATTGAAAAAAAAGGGCCTGTGCTTGGATTAGGGGCCTGGTTGAGAATATTAGGTAGGACCCCAGGCTTTTCCCCCCTATTTTTTGGGGGTGGAGTTCCCCATTAGATACCGGGTCATACCGGGCCCAGTATTACTTTTTGAGGTAATCCCACGCACTGTTTTTTTTACTATTTAACTTGGAGTCCCTCCTAACTTTCCTACCAGACCTGAAGGGTCTGGTAGGGATTGGGAGGGTGACCCCGCGTCATTTAAAAAAAAACATTTTTTGTTTACATTTTTTTAATTCTGCTTGATACTTCCGAGGTAGCGAGCAGAAAACCCAAGCCGAGTGTCGTTCGGCGCTATTTGGCTATTCACTTATTGCCATTTGGCCCCTATGAGAATGTTCAGCTGAACCGAAGGGAGCTGAAACCAGCCGATGTATGGGTGAAATCAGCCATACAGGGCTGAAGTGAATAGCTGAACGGTGTTCAGCTCACTTCACTTCGGCTCGGTTATTCACTCGGCTGCCTTTGGCAGCTTAGTGAATAACTCCCTATGTTTCCCTTTGGTGATTGTGGAAGACCTTCGCCTGTGGTCTAGGGCTTGTGTCTATGTATGGCCCCTGGACTGTGTAAAATGTGAGTAGCCACAGAGCAGGTAACCCTAAGTGTCTATAGTTAACAGACAGTAGAAGCAGCCATCGGTTATCACTGATAATACACCTGATGATTCTAATAACTCACTTGAATGCAGTGACATCCCTAGATTGGTCAAGTCTTACTTTTAGCCAGACTCCCTCTAAAACATGGCTACATTTTGATAAAGCATGGCCCGTTTTGGTAAAGTATTATTTTTCTGGGGGTAACACATGAAACATTTAGTAGATATTTTTCACCAGTCTTTTCTAATAAATACTTGGAATGATCTTGAGCACTGAAATGGTTGTTTCCTCCCTGCAATAAAAGTAAGTGGATGTATAGGACAAAAATGAATTGTTCCTTGTAAATGATGCCATGTATTTGCCAAAACAATTATGCCCCTATACTCTAGGAACATTTTTTGAACTGCCTGAACATTTAATGCAGAGGTATAATGTTGGGCCCTTCTTTACAGTTACCAAAGTTATGTTAAATACTTACATCAGAATTAAATCGAAGCTGGCAAACGTTGCACGAAATAACCAGCTTTTTCTTTGGTGGAATGGAAACGCCAAAGGTATGGTTTATTACAGCTTTTTGCACTGGGTCCATCTATAAAAAAAATAAAATAACTATGAGCATATAACTATGCCAAAGCTTACAGTAGGACTGTGAAGAAATAACCTTTTCATATCATATTGCTTCATTAGTCTGTTGAAACTGATCTGTAAATGGTTACTTGGTCTACTGAACCTTCTTTTGGCAGAACTGGTTTTGTCAAGCCAGGCAGTGAACTTCTATAATTATAGCCTATCTCAGGACAAAATAAAAACTCACTTTGCAGTGGGGCTAACTTGTCGTTCCTCTCTAGGGGGATTCTTTAAAGCAGTTTTACTTACCTGATCCCTGCTCCCACTTGCTCCAAGACTGGTGCCCGATAGCCTCTTCTCCCCTCTGCTCTGGCAGCCAGAGCACATTGATATCATCATGTCTAATGCAGGGTCAATAGCCATGAATTAGATGGGAGGACGCTAGGGGGCAGTCCACAGCCAGAGCGGAGGTAAGTGCCAACTGCCGGGGAAGTGGGGATCACTTAAGTAAATCTGTTTTAAAGAATCTCCTAGACAAAAACGAGCAGTTAATCCTTGCAGTGTGGGGGTAGCCCCACTGCAAGGTAAGTTTTTTTTATCCAGAGATTGTAAATATTCATTGCCTTTACAATGTCCTGCCTGCACATCATTTCAAATTATGCATTAAGAACAGGTTTCATTTTTGCCATCCCTGCAGGCTGCTGTCTGTGGTTACCTTGAGTTGTTTACAAAATGTTCTCATTGGCACAGCATTTCATGGACTTCATTTACTAAGGGCTTACGTTTGCTAGCTTGGCCATGTGTTTCCCATATATTATAAAACATGAGAAATACACACTA